TTAACACATTGTCCAAACAGTAATAAAAGTGTTATCTAGGTGAAACTTGCTCCTTATTTGATGAATAGGGTTCATATTTCAGCTATGATAATGACAGGAACCGTTAGCCAACGACTAGCATGCGTTCAAGGTCATTTGAGCGTTGAAGGTTTTGGGACGCTATTCTTAAACTTCGCCGTGGAGTAATGTTTATCACATGTAAACTTGTTTCCTTAAGCTAAAAAATAATGTCTATCTGATTTTGTTATTGCTATTTCAAAGCCTGCCTCAGTAACGGACAATACGTATTAGCCGCAACGATTATGTTAAGGAAAATCTACCAATCACAGTGTGCATAAGTGACCTTCAAGTGCTCAGCCTCTCCGTAAGCCGTTTGTGCGTCTATTTTCTGCGGGTTAAAATCCACCATTTGTAGGGCCTGTAGGTGACGTTTAGTTGCTCTGCATCTCTACAGACAGTGAGTGACTCTGTCCACTGAATCAAGGTTAAAACATAAGTTACCGTACGCATTTTTGGCACATCATGGTTAATGACTCAAGAGATATAACTTCTGTAGAAGCCGACAAAACTATGTACCCATAAATAGCGACAACACCAATGACTTTAGGACACTCAGTCGGCCGGTTAGTGAATACAGGCAAACAAAATTATAACCACGAATACGCATATTAATGTGCTAAACGAAGCGTCATGATAAGTTCTCGTAACCGCGGGCAAAAATAGATAATTCAGATTTAGATTCAGATTTATTGGTTGAGGATAGAAGGCTTGCAGCCTATGTTAATCCTTTTCTAGTTAATTTCTGTGGTTGTCCAAACCCTTCTTGAACGAATCAGTTGAGGTTGCAGACACCACTTCTACTGGGAGTCGGTTCCAAGAGTTTATGACTCCGTGTGAGAACCAGTACTCAACAGCAATATCATTTCTTCTTGGCTTTTGAACTCTCCTGATATGGCCTCGAAGGTGTTCCGACCTGGTGGGAAGGAAAAGAGAGAATGGGTCAGGTCCGTAGTCATTATCTAACATTTTAAACATTGTGATTAAATCTCCTCTCTGCCTACGGTATGACAGTGAGAAGAGATTTAAACTGTCTAGTCCTTCCTCGTATGATAAGTTAGCCATGCTGAAAACCATATGTGTTGCCCTGCTTTGAACTCTTTCTAGAATGTGTGAGTCCGCTTTTACATAACGACTGGCTGTCTGGATGCAGTTTTCCAGTCTTGACCTCACCAGAGATGTATATAAGGAGGTGGACATATCTCTGATGATTCTGGTGAAGGCTTTGCGAATTTCCCATAAGGCTGTGAAACTACGTGCAACCACTGCGCGACAGTGTTCTGTAGTTTTTAAGTCGTGGCTAACTATGACACCTAAGTCCAAGTGAGTCTGGACTGATGGAAGTGTTATTCCCTCTAGTTCGTAGGAGCTGATGCTTGCCTGTCTGATAAGTATGGTTGCACATTTTGCTACATTTATCGGGAGCATCCATTCTATGGACCACTCTGACAATCTTTTGAGGTCTTTTTTCAACATGAGTGTATCACTGTTGCCCTTCAGCTCTCTCCAAATTTTTAAGTCATATACGTATAGGATCATAGGGGAGTCGGTGAGTTGAGATAACTCATTGATATAAAAAATAAATAGGAGAGGTCCGAGTACCGTGCCTTGTGGTACTCCACTACGTACTGCTGTCCAGGAGGAGAGTTTCTAGTTGATCCTAACCCTCTGCCTCCTATCTGTGAGGAATTCCCTGAGCCAGTCTAGTAATCTGCCTTTGATACCAAGACTTTCCAACTTCATGAGTAGTCTTTTGTGAGGTACTTTATCAAAGGCTTTGCTGAAGTCTATGAATATGACATCAACGGGTCTTCTGTTGTCCATTGATTTGACCCAGCTTTCTCTTGCAGTGAGGAGATTTGACAGGCATGAGAAGTTCCTCCAGAAGCCATGCTGTGCTCTAGATAACAAGTTGCTGTTTTCCAGGTGAGGGCTTACGGCGAGCTGTCATCTGAACTGATGACGACCAGTGGTGTCCGTCAAGGATGCCCATTATCTCCTTTCCTATTCAACTTCATCATAGATGTGTTAATGGACTTAACCCTAGGTGACTTCAGTGACTCAGGGATTGACTTGCTACCGGGGAATAATCTCGTTGACTTGGAATATGCAGACGATATAGTCCTTCTAGGCGAAGACGCTGACGAAATGCAGAGTCTTCTAAACACCTTGAGCCGCAATCTACGAATGTTTGGCATGCGATTCGCTCCCGCCAAATGCAAGATGATGATACAGGACTGGACTACATTGACGCCTAGTTTAAAAATAGGAAGTGAAGTGGTTGGTGGAGCACGTTGACCGCTTCACTTATTTGGGAAGTACCGTCAGCCAGTGCCGACGGGCTGATCTCTGACGAAATCTCAGCACGAATACAGGGAGCTCGTTCCGCATTTGCCGGTTTACGCCGACTCTGGCGTAGACGAGATGTTCGACTATCGACCAAAGGGCGGGTGTACTGCTCATCAGTCCGCTCCGTCCTCCTTTATGGTTGTGAGACCTGGCCACTGAGAGTGGAAGACATGAAAGGACTAGCTGTCTTTGACCATGGGTGCCTGCGTTCTATTTCCCGTGTAAAGTGGCATAATAAGGTGAGCAACATGGAGGTTAGGCGTAGAGTTCTAGGTAAACAGGGGAAATCAATCGACGAAGTCGTGAAGCTACAAAGACTGAGATGGTTAGGACATGTGTTACGTATGCCAAGCCATCGCCTGCCTCAACGAGCAATGTTAGCGGATATAGGGTCAGGCTGGAAAAAAGCTAGCGGCGGTCAAACAAAAACTTGGCATCAGTCAATGAAATCCACAACAGTTGGTCTAAGCCACGTAGAAAGGTGTAGACTTCCAGGCTGGGGTCCTCGGGACGGTAGAAATCTATGGTTGGAAACAACTGGTGACATGGCTCAAAACCGTTCTCAGTGGCGCAGATGCATCCACTCCCTGTGACTTATGATCTTCAATGAAACTGTTTTGTATTTCTTTATTACTCCTTTGCCTCACACCTCTGCTCACTGTTTCTATTATGCTTTTCTTGTACTTTCTTCTCTTGCTTCGCGTGCTACACGGAATGTGGCGACTTGAACTTCCGCACATTTGTGCAAAGTTCTATGTCGAAAACAGACAGACAGAACAGACAGGTATGCCATGATGCTTTTCTTGATGGTTCTTTCCCGTTTCTTGATTAAAGTGCTGATGAGACTGATAGGCCTGTAATTTGAAAAGCTTTGTCTTGTTCCTCCTTTGTGGATTGGGGTTTGCTATTGTGTCTTTCCAGTCACGCGGCAACACTCCATTTAGGAGAGATGGTTTGAAGATCGTGGTCAATGGGCTGGCTATGTGAGCTGATAGCTCCTTGAGAAGCCCTGGATGGAGACCCATTGATTTCCCTGCATCTAGTTTCATAAGGCAGTTGAGCACGATGCCTTGGTCGATGTCGACGGGATCTATTCCGTATTCCTCTGATGCAGCCAGAGCTGATCCTATAGAGAGTGATGACTCCTGAGTGAAGACGGGAGAAGTAGTCTGCCATTGCTTCTGCTTTTTCTTGATCTTCTTCGATTGTATCATTGTCAATAATCAGGTTTGGTACACCATTGGATGTTTTATTCCTGAAGTTCATGTGCGAGAAAATTTTGAGCCACATTATCCCATTTCGTCCACTATTCAGCCAAGATTTGTCATTATATTACCATTACTACCATTTTGTCAATATCATGCCTATTTTAACCATTATTTAACCGTTGTTTGCCTTCTGTCTGACTTAATTAGTTTAGGTTTGGAAAAGATTAAGTTATGGTTTAGGCTAGGGGTTGGTTAGAATTAGGTTAACCTAATAAGAGAGATATTAACGTTCGTTCGAATTAGAATAAAGTTAGTTTAGGGATAGGTTCACGTTAGGATTAGGTTAAAAGAGGATTGAATGAAGTTGAAAGACGAGATGGATACATGTACAGAATGTGACTCGATTTCTCTACTGGAACAATTGCAAGACTGGGAGGTATTTTTGTCACACATGTAAGGTACCCTACTAAACGGTTTCATGCTTTTTTATTCATTGTCCTCATAAATATGTGTGTTTTATCCGTGGAAATAGTCTTTTTCATGTGACTTGGGCGTCTGAGGTCATTCGTGCTCAAAGTTTAACTTCGTCCTATAAATGTATGTAGCTGGGGTAATATACCCCGCACACCGCGGAAATAAGTCATGTACCCTTATGCGCGCCCAACATTTCATGCCTTTTGCTCCACATTTCTGTAATGTTCCCGAAGTCTGCTGGCAGATCTGCCATTTAGCTACAGGCTTACTGGCAGATTAAAGTACGCCCCTAATGTAGACCTAGAGCAGCCTTTCTGTATACACCGCATTTTAATACAAAAATATTACATTAATGGAAGGCTCCCACATTTTTGATTTTAATAATGGGTGCTTGTTTGCCATTCTAAAGTTGAAAAATAACGGACTGAACTGTAGCTCGAGCTCCTGTCAGTTCCAGGGCTGAATGGATCCATACTTCAGGAGGATTTGTTTGAATGTTTATCTGAGCGTGGAATTCATTTTGAAGCCTTTCATTACACATCTATCAAACCTATTTACCCTCCCATAGCGAGTAGACCTCAGACATCTTATTGGGCATTCGACTTGCAATCAGTTCAAACCTGAATTTTGGGCGGCTGGATATGGTGTTATCAGTTTATTGCCAAGTGCACCGAAGTATATGTAATTGTTGAATATTATATCTTTTTATGGGACAGAAAAACAGGCATCGTGACTGTTTCATAATAAGTTGAATTATTTTATCACATTTCTTTTATACTCTATAAACGGTTATTTTGCGTCGTATTTCATATTGTTCTTTATTTTTAGGTCTCTGTTTTATCTCAGTTGAAGTGCACATCAATCATCAGCTAGAACTCGTATTGTAACCAACCACATTGTAAAGACGGACAAATGTTTTTCACTCGATCCTTAAGAACTTTAGTTGTGAAATCATTACCTCAATCTCCTAAGTCACACATCTTTTTCCCATCCAGGAGTTTGTTTATTTCACCCAAATTACCAGCGGTATCCATGCCTGTTGACAAATCAGTCTACCGTCCTGCACTGACTGTAGGTAGATGGTTGTTGAGTCTTTCTGGAATGACTTTTGGTGCTATTATGCTTGGTGGAGTTACAAGGTTTTTTCCCGTTTCATTGTTAAAATTTGTTTCAAAGGTTGACTGAATCTGGTCTTTCGATGGTAGAGTGGCATCCATTTAAAGAATTGCCGCCTTATACTGAAGAGCACTGGCAACTAGAATTCGAGAAATATAAGAAGTTTCCAGAACATCAACAGAAAGTTTGCTTTCATATATTTATCTCTGCCTTAGTTATGTGAAGGAAAATGGGGAAATGTCCATCACTCGGTTTAAGTTTATATGGTACATGGAATTCATCCATCGAATGTGGGGCCGATCAATTGGTGCTGCTTTCTTCTTCCCAGCTGCTTACTTTTTGTATAAAGGTTATTTTTCTCCAGCAATGAAACCCCGCGTTCTTATTTATGGAGGACTGCTCGGATTTCAGGTATTTAGTCACCATTCCTGGTGTTACTGTTTTGTATGTTTACATGTGAATTTTAACGTGTGCTACGAATATTTTGTTCCTTGTGAAAAATAAATCTCATCAAATGTTACCTTTTGAAAGATATCGTTAGGTTGTGTATCTAACGCGCATAGCTTGTTTAGATCCGTCATACATTTCAATCTCGTATGAGCAAAGGTTACACGAGGTGAGTTTGCGTTGTCGTAAGGCGACGTAGAAGGTGAACACCTAATTGACACTTTTGATTCAGCCCTAGTTAGTAACTGGTGTAATGTGTTTAGTCCTCTGTTTGGTGCAGACTGAATTCTATCAGTGACGTTTGCAATGTGGCCACCATTCGAGGTGGTTCACCATCACTGGGCACTTTGAATTGTCTTATAGGAGGTCATTCACAAGCCCGAGTAGCTTAGTGGTAACGCCTCTGACCGCAGCACTAGGTGATGCGGGTTTGAGTCTGAGAAGGCGCATGACTTCCATCATGTTTACAGATATACACCACGCTGACGAGTGCCATGTAGCACGAAACCTAGGTCCAAGACTTCTTGCCCATTGACTACAACCATCTAATATTAACATTTACTTTATTAGTGTTAGGAAAAAGTAGCAACTCATTCAACTCCTTTTCAACTTGAAAACCAGTGAAACACCATAAATCAGCGCAGAAAATTGTACCGGTATACATTAGCTAAAGTTATCACACTTCAGAAGGAATTATGCAAGAATGTTTTGATGAAGAGTGGAGACGTTCAGAATTCCGAAGGTAAGAAACAGCGTTTATATTTGCACTATTAAGTAAAGTCTTGTTTCTTTGTCAACGGGACTAACTGGTTTCAATGTAGAACTTTCCACAGATGTACAACAGTTCGAGTTGCCACACACTCCCTACTTGTAGAACACAAGGAAAAAGAAGAAAGTAAAAAGAAATACAAAACAAAGACAATAAACACACATACTAGGCAAAAACAATAGTAATATGCAAGAACCATATAGTTTTATTGGGTATTATAAGTCACAAGGAGTGGAGGCATCTGAGCCCAGCCATTGAGAAGGATTTCGAGCCATATCACCGACAGTAGTCTCCAGCCTCCATTGGTCCTCACCATCCCGAGAACTCCAACCAGTCAGGCGGTCTACACCTCCCTACGTGACTCGCTGACTGGCTGGCTTAAACTAACTGTTGTGGATTTCTCCATTGACTGATGAAGCCATGTTTTCGTCTGACCACCACTACTGGTTAGCTCTATTCCAGCCTGATCCATCCTATGTCAGCTGCCATTGGCTGCCGAGCAAGGCGACCGATGACCAGGAATGCATGCATGCGTTACACGTGTCCTAGCCATCTCTCTCCCCCCCCCTCAATCGATGAAACTTCATAACTTCGACGATTGCACTGTGTGTTATTTTTCTGTAACTTTTAAGATCACCGATCTCTATGATCCATGTTAAGTTATATGACACTAAGAGTTTTGTAAAACATTTCCTCAGAAATCTCTGACCTAATGAGTATACCACTTAATTTGCCTACCGCATCTAAGTTTAGTAATATTCTACTTTGATAGAGAAAAATATAGAGGAATTCTCCAAGTTGACTAGTTTCATTTAAATGAGTGGACATTCTAACAAAAATAATTTTTCGAACTGTTCGCATTCTGCTTTCCAGTTTTCATTGTTTTTCACTGTCTACCTTCATGTAAGAGTTGCATTGATAGTGAAGAAGGGATCGATTCAGTTAATGAAAACGTGTGTCTATTAACACAAGAAAGATAATGAAATTATAATCAGCTTTTCGTTTCTTTTATTACGTATCAGTAGTATTCCTAAATGAGCTTTGAAAAGTTGACTTAACTCTAACTGACTTCAGCGACTCAGGGATTGACTTGTTACCACCAGGGAATGATCTCGTTGACTTAGAATATGCAGATGATATAGTCCTCCTCCCTTCTAGGCGAAGACGCTGACAAAAGAAAGCAGAGTATGCTCTGGACACCTTGAGGAGCAGGAATCTTCGAATGTTTGGCATGTGATTCATTCCCTTTGTCAGATGTAAGATGATGGTACTGGACTGGACCATGTTGACTTCTAGCTTGAATATAGATAGGGAGTGAAATGGTGACTGAGTGTGTCGACCACAACTTCACTTATTTGTGAAGTTGCATCAGCCAGTTTCAATGGGTTGATCGCCGAGGAAATCCCAGCGCAGATACGGATAGAGAAGGCTCGTCTGGCATTTATTAGCCGACTTACGCCATCTCCATCTTAGTAGACGTGGCACCCGTCTGTCTGTCGACTAAAGGGTGTGTGTACTGGTCAACAGCATCGTCAGTGGCAGCAGCACTTCGTTCGATCCTGCTATATGACTGGCTGTGAGTGGGACATGGCTATTGATAGTGGAAGAGATGAAAAGCCTGGCTAGCTGTCGTTGCATGTACTGTGTTAGATGGTGGCATAATAGGGTAAACAACATAGGAATGAAACCTCGATCGAGTGGTAGGTAAGAAGCAGAGGGGAAATCAGTCGACGAGATTGTGAAGTTTCATCGATTGAGGGGGGGGGAGAGATGGCTAGGACACGTGTAACGCATGCATGCATTCCTGGTCATCGGTCGCCTTGCTCGGCAGCCAATGGCAGCTGACATAGGATGGATCAGGCTGGAATAGAGCTAACCAGTAGTGGTGGTCAGACGAAAACATGGCTTCATCAGTCAATGGAGAAATCCACAACAGTTAGTTTAAGCCAGCCAGTCAGCGAGTCACGTAGGGAGGTGTAGACCGCCTGACTGGTTGGAGTTCTCGGGATGGTGAGGACCAATGGAGGCTGGAGACTACTGTCGGTGATATGGCTCGAAATCCTTCTCAATGGCTGGGCTCAGATGCCTCCACTCCTTGTGACTTATAATACCCAATAAAACTATATGGTTCTTGCATATTACTATTGTTTTTGCCTAGTATGTGTGTTTATTGTCTTTGTTTTGTATTTCTTTTTACTTTCTTCTTTTTCCTTGTGTTCTACAAGTAGGGAGTGTGTGGCAACTCGAACTGTTGTACATCTGTGGAAAGTTCTACATTGAAGCCAGTCAGTCAATCCCTTTGTGAGTAGATAGTCAGCTGCTAGGACTTTGGAATTAAACATGGTCACCTCCACCAGCAAATCTGTTACCAGGATTGCTGGGTGAGTGTTTCTCAGCAAAACACGAGTAACCGTTTGTTCAGTTTTCATAGTGATTATTAGTGTGAGCTCTTAGTCCTAATTCTTGATATTGTTGTCTATAGATTTAATAACAGATATTCATATTTCTCGATAGTAAAGCATTTTTTCTCCACTTCATACTTTATGATTTAATAGATTTTTTTTGTATTCTAGGGTGTTCTAGGCTGGCTTATGGTACGCAGTGGACTAAGGGAACCTAAACGGCCAGCAGGCATTTCATCAAAAGAAGAATATGTCGGTGTACCGCGTGTGGGTCATTACTGGCTGTGTGCTCATCTGATTTCAGCTGTTGTTTTATATTCGTTACTTTTATGGGGTAGCTTCAACCACTTGATATCTCATTCTTCGGTGAGTGATTTTATTTTGCTTTGTTTTTCAGAACCAGACTTCAATTACTAGTTTTAAGGGATGTTTGTTGAGTGTAAATAAAACGGCTTAGAAATAGGGAGTGATGTGGTAGAGAATGTTGATCGCTTCACTTATTTGGAAAGTACCATCGGCCACCTCCAACTCCATATATCCCGCTGGCTATCGATCAAAGGGCGGCCGTACTGCTCAGCAGTTCGCTCCGTCCTCCTTTATGTCTGTGAGACTTGGCCATTGAGAGTGGAAGGCATGAAAAGATCAGCTGTCTTGGATCATAGGTTCCTGCGTTCTATCTCCCGTGTGTAGTGGTATAAGAGGGTGAGCGAAATTGACATTAGGCGTCGAGTGCTAGGTAAGGAGGGGAAATCAATCGACGAGGCTATAAAACTACATCGACTGAGAGAGATGGTTAGGACATGTGTTACATATGCCTAGTCATCGCCTTCTTCGATGGTTAATGTTAGCTTACATAGGGTCAGGCTGGAAAAGAGCTAGCGGTGGTCAAACCAAAACATGGTTTCACCAGTCAATGAAATCCACAAAAGTTAGTTTAAGCCAGTCACGTAGGAAGGTGGAGAATTCCTGGTCGGGATCCCCGGGACGGTAAAAACCAATGGTTGAAAACAATCAGTGATTTATTATTATTATTTTATTATTATTTAAACGCATAAAAACTTGGTACAATATGGCACCGAAAAAGATGCGCCATACAATAATAATAAAACAACATAGATCAAAAGAAAAAAAATATATAAGTAGAGAACAGATAATGAACTTCATCTGGAAGGAAAACAGTCATGCTTAACAAGTTCAAACAGTATTCGTTAACTCTCATCGGGAAGGGGAGAAAGAAGGGAATTGCAACACGTTCGCCATTGATTACGATTCTTGGCCATATCCGATAACGTTTCGAGCCATCGATTTGAGCTATCTCTCGGACCCCAACCAGGGAGTCGTGACACACCAACTGATGCTAATCTAGCACAAAAATCTTTCATCCCACGACGCCACGTCATGGACTGACCACCCAAACCGCCTTTTCCATCCCGTCCTAGGGCTGGCCAGCGAACAGAGACCTGTACGGAAGCCTCTGGGATGACATTCTCAGCACATGTCCAAGCCACCGGAGTCGGTGTTTCCAGATGACGACACTCAATGAATGGTGATCTCCACTGTGTTCAAACACACGCCGCCGAACCTCAGAATTACTCACGCGATGATGCTATCGAACGCAAACAATCCTACGGAGACAGCGACGATCGAACAAGCAGAGTCGCCCCACATCCTCAGCTCGGAGAGGCCAGGTTTCACAGGCGTAGAGCAGCGCAGCCCGCACCGAAGCATTGTATACCCGACCTTTGACAGCCAGGCTAACATCGCGACGGCGCCATAGGTGGCTCAAGTTGGTGTATGCCATCCTAGCCTTCATTATACGGTTGGAAATCTCATCCGTCACCCCCCCCCGCCAACACTCACACAACTATCCAGGTACACAAACTTATCAACAACTTCAAGCGGTTCACCCGCAACAGTGAGTGCAGGTACAGGCTCCTGCCAATCTTGTAACAGTACTTTGCACTTAGACGGCGCAAAGCACATACCATACAGACACTGATCGTCAAGTGATTAAGTGCGACTTGAGCAGCCTGCATGCTATCGCACAGTAAGACGTTATCGTTTTCATACTCGAGGTGGAAAAGTCTGTCTACAGGTAGCAGATCTACACCACCATCACACACATCCTTCAGAGCTGACTCCAGAATGTCATCGATGGCAAAGTTAAAGAGAAATGGAGAAATTGGGCAACGCTGTCTAACCCCACTGTTGGTTGGGAACAGTGGTGATAGTTGGCTGTGTGCCCTCACTCTACCCGAGGTGTTTCTGTGTAGGGCTTTCAAGATGTTAACAAATTTCTCAGGTACACCTCTCTCTAACAGACAAATCCAGAGCGCAGTTCTGTCCAACGAATCAAAGGCAGCCCTAATATCAAGAAACACAACGATCGTTGACGGTGTTCCAACAACTGACGAAGGGTGAACACATGATCAATGCATCCATGACCTGAACGAAACCCAGCCTGCTCTTCGCGAATCAATCCCTCACGTATTTTGCACAGCCTGCGAAGCAAGACAGCAGCCAATATTTTAGACGTGACTGGTAGCAGACTGATACCCCTATGATTTTGAACAAAGCAAAGGGGAATAAATGTATGAAACCCCTATGATTGTCACACGAATTACGTCGACTCTTTTTAAAGATAGGGACGATAATGTCTTCGTTCCACATTGATGGCACACTCTCTCCCATACCTTCCTGAACAACCTAGGTAAATTGTCTGGGCCGGCGCCTCATGGCGTTTCAACACTTGGAGTCCCTTACGGACCTCCGCTTCGGTGGGTGGGTCGGTACTAACCGACCAAGGAGCACTCGGGCTAATGATAGTAGACACTGAAGCTGGTGGCCAGCTGAACTGCTTCCCGAAGTGCTCTGCCCAGCGTTCCAGGCGTCTTTTCAGGCTGGTAATTGGAGTGCCATCTGCCTCACAGACCGTCTCGCTGACACCTTGTTTCTTGCTGCCGGTGGCTCGTATGAGTTGGAACAGCTTCCGATGCAGCAGCTGACTCCATCTCACACGCACGTTCTGACCACCAGGCTTCGCGGTCCTTACGTAAACACTGTCTAATCTTGCGCGTGAGCGCCTTTCGCTGATTGTTGTATTCGCTGCCAGCCGGAATGGACCGGCGTTCATCCATGAGTTGCAAGGAACTCGCAGTGGTTGTTAGCGGAGCATTCTTTCAAGCCGCAAGCGGCTACACTCGCCTTTTGCATGGCACCTTGCACATGAAGCCAATGTTCATCTATACTACTTGGGGGTTGCTGGCAAGCATTGTTTTTAACTCATTCTGATATTTCAAAGAAGTAGCAGGTGCTACTAGTTTGCTCACATCAACGCTTAGACGACGGCTTTTATGAACCCCACCAAATCGCAAGACGAACTTGGCACACACTAACGCATGATCGGAGTCCAGGCATGTGCTCCAGAAGGAGCGACAGTCTTGTATGCATCCTCGCCACCGGAAACTGACCGCAATATGATCAATCTGAGTCCAAGCTTGCTTCGCAGAGGGAGGACGCCAGGTAGCGCTACGGCGATGGCTGTGCCGGAAGTTGGTGCTGGCTAGAAATAGGTTGTGATCCGCGCAAAGCTGCAGAAGACGGTCCCCATTATCTGACCTGCGACCATGTAGTCCCCACTGACCACCTAGACGATTCTCCTCTGAGCTTAGACGCCCGACCTGTGCATTCAAGTCCCCAGCCAGCACTACGATATCCCTCCGACCCGCCTGTTTCAAGAGATCGCTCAGTTGGTAGTAAAACTCATCCTTCATTGCATCCGGGCTGCAATCCGTCGGTGCATAGGCAGAGACAACAAATAGACACCGCCTATCTGGCCTACTACTCCTTACTTTCGTATAACCTTCCAGCCTCACAGCACATAAACGACTGTTAATGGGAATCCAGTCGAGCAGTGCAGCTTCGGCTCTAGCGCTCAGTGCGACACCGACACCAGCTACGCCGGATGCCGACGCCACAGGGTCCCCGGATAAGCGCAGGTGGTACATATTACTAGAACTTCCAGATGGAGAGGATAGTCGAAGCACTTCACTGGGATCTTGAATGCGGGTCTCCGAAATGCAGCAGACATCGATAGCGAGGCTTTCCAAAGTTCTTGCCAACCCTGCCTGTTGTCCGATTTGCATCAGCGTCCGAACATTGTAGGTAGCCAGCTTGAACACGGCACGCGGTTTCAGGATATCTGTGTTAGATGTCACATTGGGAACAACCATTTTGAGGACTACTCACTAACATCTCGAAACGACACGGATAGGCTGGGAATCTCGACAAAGGCGAAAGGCTGTCGAAGGTTAAGAAGTCAAGGTTAGCAAAGGTAAAATACAGGAAACTATGTATAAAAATAAAAGTAAGGTAGGAAGGATACAAGTTACTTGAGGCATCAATATTGCTTGAAACCATTGTGTAATAGCACGCGATAAGTTTCATTGTTTGTTTGTTGCTTCATTTGATTTATTGTCTGAGGGCTGAGGTACTTCCCGGGTGCCCAGACAGAAGCAGGTGCTTTTATTAAGGGACCACCCCCGGGCCTTTGACTTGGAGTCTAATCCGCAAGGCAGCGGAGCAGCGTCAGGAGCTGCATTCCCATGGTTGTCGGTGACCCATATGGGTTCATACGCCATTTGATCCGATTGGATACTGGAGCCCTTGTACCCCATGGTAACTGCTTTTAGTTTAGCCGCTATCCAAACAACCTTCCTGACATGGTAGGACCTGCAGGGACAGAGTCCCAGTCAGTTTAGCATGTTGGGTCATTACGGTATTCAAGCTCGACCACCACGGCAAGGTAACAGTAATCGGCCGGGGGCTCAAAGTGATCGTTCTCAGTGTCTGGCGCCGATGCATCCACTGCTTGTGACTTATGATTTCCAATAAAACTATATTGTTTTTCGTTATTACTACTCTTTTGTCTCACACCTCTGTTTACTGTCTCTAGTATGCATTTCTTCTACCTTCTTCTCTTGCTTTGTGTGGTACAAGGAGGGAGTGTGGCGACTTGAACTGCCGCATATCGGTGCAAAGTTCTATGTCGAAAACAGACAAAACAGCTCCACAATGACGTGTGGAAGCCGAATTCCCAAAGATTATTGAACTGCTTCAGTGATTAGCTTGAACTAGTTATTTGCTTTCTCATGCAAGAATGCTTACCGTTTTCTTGTGTCCTGGATTTCGTAAAGTAATATAGTTTATTAGCCAGTCCTAAGCTCGGAAAAAAAGAAAGCTAGGCATGTGGCCAGCGATCCTAATCGACACTATAACTTTAAATGGGCTTATTAGATGGCCTGCCAGTACTAGTAGTTCTTTATAGAATGAAGATACGTGGTCTTGTATTAGCGTCATTCTTTGTTAACCGTTTTTAGTAATGAGTGTACTGAGGTGTGCACTACTGTTTCACTTTGATTAAATTGGATGTGACATCGCTCTTATACTTGAAAGAAAATACTATCTGCCGAAGTGTTTTCGGTTTAGGAAGTTAAACAATGGGCGCTTTAGTCAGTGAATCCCACTTGACCTATTTTTCTATACTTGGGCTTGTCTGTCAAGGAGTAGCATCAATTGCGATTTTAGTGTATGCGCGGAAGAATATTGCCAAGTTATTGCTTATTCAACAGCACATCTTTTAATCCCGTTTTCCCCAGTCCTCTTTAGTCTATGAGTCCTCATCTCATATAATCTCCATGTCACTCTCAGGCGCCCAACTGACCGTTCTCAAACAAACTACCTCCAACTTTCTGAACTGAGAGCAAGTTCCATCGTCTGTAAAACGCATCATTTTGCCTACTTTTAAAATCTGGTCTGTGATCAGATCAACCATAAAGGAAGGATAAAGCAGCAAGAAACTCTGGAAACGGACCAACCAAGAACCTTCGGCCCAAACAAATAGGCTGAAGGGAATGGGGATGGGTCGGACACACACTGAAGAGACCGTTCTGTGACATTATAAACCAGTCGGTCGAGTAGAACCTGGATGGGGAACGGGGAGTTCGTCATTCGAGGGTGTCATGCGCGGGAGGGGGGAATCGTGTGAGTAGGAGATGAGAGACTATGGGTAATCGTATAGCCAGCCAACTGAAAACGACTTCAGAGAACAGGATGAAATGGAGAAGTGCTCCCGAAGTCCTTGTTACACTCGGAACCTGACGTAATTATAACAATATAGGTTTCCTTTTATTGACCTATGTTATTATATCTTACAGATTCAATCGATTAATCGGAGAAAAATTTAAAGTGGAATGTTGTGCATACATTTCGTGCTGGTAGAACTCACCTAACTGTCTTATCTGTTGTTCAAACATTTTCTTGACTATTACTTGGTTGATCCAGTTGTCCCTGTTTATCAGTTGACCTGAGAGCATGACCATTTTGTTCCTGAGATTTCTGTGATAACTGTCGACTGTCATTTGTGCATATTTCGTTGTTTCGATTGACATTGTTGTTGTTGTTGTCGTCACTGCTGGTGATTAAAGTGTTGAGATCAGTGATGGTTGATTGTTCTTCGTATGTGACGCTATTATTTTCAGTGTAGTTCTGATTGGATACAGGCATATTTATTGATTGTTTATTTCTTATAGAACCACCATTAGCTGAAATCGCTTTAGCAACAGCCTCAGCTTCAGTTTGTAGACGACTGATTCTATGACACAGCATAGCCAGGCTAATATCTGCAGGTTCTGAAAAGTCTTGTGTTTCAGCCAGTATATTCTCGGGACTAATCATGAAATTGGATTCTTTACTGTGGACCACTAGAATGTGAAAAGAAGACAGAAAAACAACACAATATCGTACACGGATACACACACGCACAATTGTGAGAATAAATAATAATAGGACTATAAATTCAATGAAACAAACGCATGTTTATTAATTCACTGAAGTATGCTCATCCCGTTGTGAGTGTTCACAGGTCAGGAGGTAGAGCATAAATAGACATCGTAGCTCACTGTCTGTAAGATAAATCCTTGAATCATGCACAAGATTGTGAATGTTTTTGACTGAAATGGATAGAGAAAATAGCCTAAAGAACTGGGACAGGGCTTCAGTAGGTCCGAATTACATCCTGTTCTCTGCAGTCCTCTTAAGACGACTTCACGGTGGTCTATAAGCTCTCACCTCCTCGTCACATGATCTCTATGTCACTCTCAGGTGCCCAACTGGCCGTTCCCCGTTCGAGTTCCACTCGAGAGCCTGGCACCCGATGTCACCCGACGATCTTCTCAGAGCGTGTTCAGTCAGTTTCCATTTCCTTTGGAATATTTGTTAAGCAATAGCTTCTTGGTTAGTTCGAGTTCGTCCTCGGAGTTTCTTCTTGCTAATTCTTTCTGGTCATCTCATCCTCGGAATGCAGCTCAGCTCTCTGATGAAAGTCTGAAGCCTGTTAGAAATGGTTTTGTTGATGTTTGTGTGTGTGTGTGTGTGTCGAGTTTCTGAAGCACATAAAAGAACTGGCTGACTTGACATTAGTGTTGAATATCCGAATTGTGTTCCTTATGCTGACTGGATGCTGCAGTAGATTTCCACTCTGATTTCAGATTAACGAAGGTACGTTTTGCTTTTCCTATTGTGGCTTAGACATCTTCATCCGTTCCGCTTGTGTAGTTGAAAGGATGCTGTCTGTATAAGGGAATGAAGAGACTTCCTTCAAATTTCTCCTCTTCATAATGACTAGCGCTTGTTGTTGTTGTTGTTGTTGGTGGTGGTAGTCAGTATCTTCACCATCTCTGTCCTGTCTATGTTCACTTGAAATCCTGTCTTCTCTGCCTGACACTTCTGTCGATTTGTTGCTTTTCACCTGTGTATCTTTGAGCTTTTGTGACACTAAACATAAATTGCCCATGAAGTTTAAATATTCTCGAGCCTTCTTGTTGGTTCGACGTATTCCTATTCCTGTCACCTCGCTCCCCATAGTAAACGGGAAGGTCAAGTCTGCCACAAGTGGTAATATTGCCGGTGATAGCAGACAGGCAGGTTTGTGTTACTGGTGTCTTCACCTCAAAGGCTTCTCTGAGTTTGCTGTCGTGGATCTCCTGATATGTGGCATTGTCGTATAGCCAGCTATTGAATGAGGTTGATAAAGATTTCGGGTACGTGTCGGTCAACGCCCTCTGGTGAAACCCTTTTCGAAGTCGGTAAAACTGACGTAGAATGAAGTTCGATTGCCATTCTATGCGCTGCTCGAAGGTGATGTGGAGACTTGCAGTTCGATGAGCCTCACATGATTTACCTTTCCCGAATCCACCTTGTTTCGGGCTGGGGAAGTTCTGCATCCAGTGCAACTTTTATTTTCTGTAGGATGATAGGACTTAGTATTTGACTTGCCGTAAATGGACAAGAGCATGATTCCACGACAGTTCTTGTGGAGAGAGGCTAAATTCTCCCTTTGGCAGTTTGACTAAGTAGCCTGCCTTTTTTCCAATCAGTAGGTACCTTCCTTTACTTCCAAAAGTTTTGTAATAGTGGCGGTCTCTGGTCCTGCTTTCAGTGCTACAGATTGAATTCCGTTTTCATCCTGCTGTTTCTCCTGCTTTTAGTGGCGTTCCGGCATTCAAGACTTCTACTTTTGTTGGAGTACTGGTGTTCACTGACAGTTCTGTGGAGGTTGGTGGTATTTCTGGACGAGTTGTAGGTATTGGTCGGTTCATGAGTCTTTTGGTGTGATCATCCCATTGTTTACTTAGGACCACCGATATTAGTATTAGTGGCGATTTGCAATTCCCTGGAGTTCTTTAGTAGTAAGCTTTCAGACATATATACGAAAATTTCTCACAAAACTGATACGTAGCTGCCTAGTTAACCTCACTACCTCAACCAGTCATTCCCTAGTAACATTATTTCTCATACACCTTTATGTGTTCCTTTAATTATATATAGGTGAAACCATTCAAACAAGTACGGAAGCTTAAAGCTCTTGGTCATTTGGGTAAAGCGCTAACTTTTACAACTATGATTTATGGTGAGTGTACTATTCATTTTGTTTATTTTATCAGTGTATTCTTTTCTCAACTTTTTCATTATTGTCTTTGTGATTATAAAAAAGTAACCGATGATTAGGCTTTTTAGTATGCAGGCATATATGCACTTTTTTTGTGGTTAGTTATCATTTCACCTAACTAAAAACTGCACTTTACGTATGCCCAGTCATCGCCTTCCTCGACGGGCAGTGCCAGCTGACCTAGGATGGATCAGGCTGGAATAGAGCTAACCAGTGGTGGTGGTCAGACGAAAACATGGCTTCATCAGTCAATGGAGAAATCCACAACAGTTAGTTTAAGCCAGCCAGTCAGCGAGTCACGTAGGGAGGTGTAGACCACCTGACTGGTTGGAGTTCTCGGGATGGTGAGGACCAATGGAGGCTGGAGACTACTGTCGGTGATATGGCTCGAAATCCTTCTCAATGGCTGGCTCAGATGCCTCCACTCCTTGTGACTTATAATATCCAATAAAACTATATGTTTCTCGCATATTACTATTGTTTTTGCCTAGTATGTGTGTTTATTGTCTTTGTTTTGTATTTCGTTTTACTTTCTTCTTTTTCCTTGTGTTCTACAAGTAGGGAGTGTGTGGCAACTCGAACTGTTGTACATCTGTGGAAAGTTCTACATTGAAACCAGTCAGTCACTCAGTTAACAAATTGTGAAAGTAGAGGTTGAGTTATTCCAGATTGTCTTAACTTCTTGTTGTAGTAGTTAAGTCGGAACATTTCCTCAGAAGTCGATTAAGCATGGAATGACCAAGTAAGGTGGTGGGGGTGGGGGTAGAACTATGAGAAGGTATTTTGTGTTACACCTAGTTTCTTACACAGTTCCCTCTATGCTACGAGCATCGTGTGTATCAACCAGTCGTTGTAGATCACTTTTACGTCTAAAGGAGAAGTCAGTTGTCTGGTATTTTAAGGGATTTAACGTTAGACCACTTTAGTTTTGACCACTGACTGATGTCGGACAAAAAGCTATCAAGTTTGCAACAGTCTGGTTGGGACGTGACAGAAGGCGTGATGGTCAGATCATCAACGTATTTGGCGAAGTTAATGTCATTAGAAAGAAGTAAGTCATGTAAGAAAAATGAAAAGAGAAATGCAGAGAGAACAGCTCCTTGAGGAACGCCAGCTTCCTGTAATCATGACAGAGGAATATTCACCCTTATACACAGTATACTGCATTCTATTTAAGAAATAAGAATGCAACCAGTTAACAGGCGAGGACTTGGTTTGCGTAAGGGAAAGCTAATTTCAAAGAAGGCATCTAGGTGCTGTGTAAAAAGCAGATGTTTAATCGAGGAAGTTATAACGAACATATATATGACCCCTTTGTCTAAGGGGGAGACAATACTATGATGTAGTACAGTGGGCAGCATCTAAAGCACTTCTGCCCTGCCTATAAGCAAATTATTTGGGATCATTAAAGCTCTTTAGATAGGATACAAGGCTAAGTAAGAGTACTTACTTTACTTCGGCTATCTCCTACGGGAGGATAAGCCGGCTTCATGAACATCTCGAATCATCGCTGCCCAGGTGCGGTGATCTGATGCAAGGTTTTGAGACAGGGTTATCCAATTCTTGTTCCACAGATGGAGTCCGTAGACGGTTTGTAGCCCCAGGGACTCCATATCAGTCTTGACTGTAACAAGCCATGTTTTCAGCTGTCCACCTCTGCGACATCGCCAAGATGGAAATGGCGAGGGATTTAGAACTGATTTGACCAGATCGTCATCTGGTCGGCGCAGAACATGGCCAAACCACCGAAGGCGATGTTGTTGAACCAGTACTGGAATTTGGTTGATGTTGTTTGTAAGAGAGTTCATGAAGTTTCATGGGAATTAGGTACTAGTGATGTCCCCAGCATCTCTTGGCCTTTTTTTTGAGAGTGCAGCTCTAGCCTTTACACAAGCAAGTGTGACCTACAAGGCAGTAGGAGTGGAGTAGGGAGTCCACTATCCATTGGCAGCCGGTGACCGCCTTTTTGAATGGGGCCAGACATCCAGGGCATCCAATAAGCCCTTTGTCCATACGTCTGCCGGTGAGCTTCATACACCAGTCGTTGGAGGTTTGGAATCAGGGTTTAGCCATCTCCCCTAGACTGTCATCCAATGGACAGTCAACCCGGTGAAGAGTAAGAGTAGTAATAATAGAACTACATATTTCTTCGGTAGAGTGTACGTTGTCTTTTCACCCACTTACATATATTATATATTTCATCTTTGTCAGCTTATCTTTTGTTTTTCCTTTCTTTTGTATCAAGGTGCTTTTGTGGCTGGTCTTGATGCAGGATTAGTATATAATTCTTGGCCAAAAATGGCTGATAGATGGATTCCTGATGATTTGATTGTTTCTCGTTATGGTTCACGGATAAGAAACTTCCTTGACAACCCAACTGCTGTTCAATTCACGCATAGACTGCTGGCGTATGCCACAGTCTTATCAACCGGTGTATTATGGGCGAATGTAATGCGTTTGGGTGTAGCGTGTACTGGACCACGTATTCGAAATGCTGCACATATAATTCTTGCTGCTACATTAGGTCAGTCAGCACTCGGTATAACAACTCTATTGTATTATGTACCAGTTACATTGGCTTCCCTACATCAATGTGGCAGTGTTGTTCTTCTTTCATCTTTACTTTGGTTCACTCATTGTTTACGGGCTGTTCCAAAATGATGAAATATTGTAATAAGAACAATGACTTATATTTTTTTTTCATTGTCGCTTTCTGAAAAAAACTTCATTGTAATAAATATTTCCACTGGGTAAAATAGGTTTTTTTCATATGGCTTTTGTGTGCATAATGGGTGGGACGAGGTGGGAGTAAATCCTCGTCATTTTCGCCGTACATCGTTGTAATTTTTCTTATGTGGGAAAATACTATCACGACTGACTTTCATGTTTGACAATAATATATATATATATATATATATATATATATATATATTATTCCTTTACGTTCCCAGTGGAACATAGAGCTTCAGGCTGGAGCTTTGAAATTTCGTTAGTAGTGGTGTTTATTTTTATGAGTGAGGTTGCTAGTATCATGCGCAATCTTCCCTCTTTGGCAGTCTTATTACTGGCTTAGGGAGGTCAAGGAGTGCGCCCGTGGCCGCGGATCGAATCCCAAACCATATGAGGCTTGTTTGGCGAGCATTTTACCGCTGTGCCACAGACGCACATATTATTATTGTTCCCTTGGGTTCCTAGTGAAACATAGGGCTTCAACTGCACGTCTCCACTTGCTTCCGTCTTCTGTTTCATTTTTCACCTGGATCCATGTTAGTCCATACTGTTTCAACTCCTCAACTCTTCATACACACGATCTCCTCCATGTCTCCCTTGCACTGACGTCCCGCTCGCCACGTGCTTCCCTTTCGGCCTGGTTCCACTCGGACAATGGCCTGATGGCCGCCCGATGTCACCCAACGGTGACCTCCTCAGTGACTGTCCAATCAGTCCATCTCCACTTTCTTCCGCATATTTGTTGGTTGGCTATTGGTTCCTGCTTTGTTTGTTTGTTCCCTTAGTTTCTTGTTTTTGGTGATTGTTTCCGGCCCGGCCCGGCCTGGCCATCTGATCTTGATTATAGAGCCAGCGAAGACAGTAGTTGATAAAGGTCTGGTGTACAATAGCCTGTTGGAAATATTCTTTGTCACCCGCTCGCCAAGTTTCTGATCCGTATAGAAGAACTGACTGACTTGACGTTTGTATTAAAAATCCGAGCGAATTTAGTTTTTTTGATTCCGAGTGACGAAGATTTCCAGATTGGTGTCAGGTTAATTGGTGAATATGTTTCTCGTCTTCCCGATTCTCGCTCGATTTGACATCCTCGTCCGTTTCGACTTCCTGTAGTTGAGACAATGCTCCCTAGATAAGTGAAGTGAATGAAGTAACTTCTTTCAAATCCCTCCCGTTGATGGCGATTGGCGCTGGATGTTCCTGCTGTCGTTGTTGTTGGTTGGTTGGTTAATTTCATAACCTTCGTCTTGTGTATGTCCACCTGGAGTCCTGTCTTCGCTGGCTGCTTCTTCGACCAGTTTGTTGGTTTTCACCTGTAAGTCTTCAATTTTGTGTGTTTGTGTGACATCAAACATAAATCATCCACTCGCGAAACCCAGGTCTTCTAGGTTCTTCGCGTCGGTCCAGGATATCGCTGTCTTCTCGTTTCCCACTGTCTGAAGCATAATCCAGCCCGACGAAATATATATATGTATATTTGCATCCTGGATTTTTATGCTTAACTCATAAGATTCACAGTGAAGTAAAAATGAAAAATTAATGGGGCAGGCGGGAGAAAGTCTTTCAATCTTTGATAAAAAATACTGCAAACGTTTGTTGCCATTGTGAAAGACTATTAGGATACCGAAAATTCCCATAGTAAAATTTAGAACAAGACATTTCAGCAAACAATATTGTGGTTTCAATAAGATCTCATCAAGCCTAACTCTACTATAAATTCAAATATAAACCAATCATGGTGTTTTGTCTATGGGATAATAAGATTGTGCAGTTATTCATAATAATAATAATAACGGTTCTATCAATAACAAGGATGAGAAAGTGAGTCTGTCTGTGATAACAAGAATCAGGAATAACAGCATGATTAAACAAACAGATGTTCAGGTAGAAGTAGTCGATAAAGGCCAGGAAAAACAAATGAACTGATTAAGTAATGCTAGATTGTTAGGGAAGTAAATAAAATACCTTTTAGAGATGTGATAAGATTTAAGGATGATAAGAGAGAGGGGTTGAAAAATATTAGTAAGGAGTGGTGGTGATTGTGGAGAAGTCATCAGTTGGTTGGGTCTTGACAGGCCAACAAAAGAGACATAATGGCCGTGTACGAACTTCTTTTGAATGCATAGTTTAGGCTTAAATAGTTCAAATGCCTGTCGCCTCAGCTGTGTGCAGTGGGCAAGTACGAAGTCTATTGTAAAGATTCGATGAGATGTGATGAATAGTTACCTTGAAAACTTTTGTTTTCTCCACTACATGACCACGAAAGCTTCTAGTAACACCCACAATAGGGTGGGTGAGCCTGGGTTAAGAGAGTATTGCAAAGTAATATAGTCAGGTGGAGAGAGAGAGACAGGTTGTTCACTGAATATTTGTTTATAGAGTTAACACTGCATAGGTGCAATTGAACTGACGCAACATGAACAATAAGGAATCTATATCATTGATAGTACTTCCATACAAGGAAGGAACGTCGAAAACCTTACGCAGAATTCTTAACAAGGTAGAATAAAAGTGGCTGGCATTCAATTTCTCACAAATTTAATTAGAGCTTTTAAAACATATCAATTTAGTTTACCTAATACCCTGATGGAATGATCGTCAGGTCAAATACATAGATCAAAGTAGTAGGACGATGTTAGTCAGCCAGACTAGCGGAGCAGCCCAAAAGCCTAGCAAATTTTAGATTGGTTGACCCGAATAAGATAAGAAATCTGGAGAATACCACTCACTATATGCACTTACACACAACCATACAATAGGATGGATGGGATAAGATGACAATTTCAAAATCTAATGTCACAGGGTGGAGGGAGGCAGAGATTGATAACAGAAGCTTTGTTTATCGAATCAACTGCAAATACGTGTAATAGGAATGATTCAACACCTGTCCATCCGGATATCTGGAAAGTTCTACTACCCTAAAGACGACAAGTAGGAGAGAACAAAGAAAACTATAAGACTCAAGTTTTGAAGTGGTGTGATTACAATTGTTGAAATGATTATGAACAATAAATTTTCTTTTGAAACCTTGTCATCCAGTTGTTAATATTGCATCACTGTGTGATAATTAAAATAAACTTATCCGATACGGAATTACATTCTACCAAAGTGCCCAAGGTTACACTTACATTCTTATGATTCTATCAAAATTCACAAAGGAAATTAATTGCTTTAGGTGTACTGAAGGCAACCTTGTAATGCAAACATCAAGTCAAACTTGATATTGAATTAGAATAGGTGTTGTAAGATGTCACCAGATAGTAACTAGTGTTTTTCCGTCTCCAGGTGGTGGTGTCGCTCCATCGATTAACTCTGCGTTTCGGTTATCAGTGTGTAGGACCTAACATCCGGGGATTGTTTCCCTCTTCCTAACAAAAGTTAATGGTAGTGCAAATAGAAACTGCTAACACAAGATACGGAATCATTAAATGGTGATCGCAGTTGTTATATATCCCACGTAGTAGTAGATAATAAGATTGAATATGTAGACGTAAACCTGAATTCCCAGAAAACAGTGATGTAAAGGAATAAGTCTGACACCTTGATATTATACATCTCACTAAACAGTTGTACGACAATGCTGCATGCCAAGTAATCCACAACGGGAAACTTACGAAATCCGTAGAAGTAAAGACGGAAGTAAGACAAACTGGCTGCGTAATATTTCCAATGATTTTCCTGATTGCGGTAGACTGGATAATGTGACAAACAGATGGCGGGTAACGAGGAAACAGGCATAAAATGAACCCACACAAAAAAGAACTTGAAAGATCTGGACTTCGCCGATGATATATGTCAAATTTAATAATAATAATAATAATAACAGCTTTATTCCAAACGGTATTTGTGGTACAGGTATGGAATTTTCAGCGTGCATTACAGTATATTGCATCTAATTACCTCATAAATTATATAAGATTTTTAAAAATCAAAGATAAATAAATAAAAATAAAATAAATAAGTTATAAATAATTAAAATAATTAAAAATTAAGAAAAAACAGCGTAGAGTATTACATTTCAAACAATGCACTACAGGATTTGAAATATAAAGTTGATGTGTGGTAGAAGATGAGAACAACAGTGTAATAGTAACGAGGAAAGGAAAACAAAAACTAATGGGACTATTTGTTAGAGTGCCGCAGTAAGTTTATCGTGTCATACCTAACGGATTTCTCATCACATAACAGCTGTGCCAGATATGGTATTGTGGAGTTTTTGTATTTGGTAGTCCTAGCATATAGCCTCCTATAGCTGCTTCTAGTTCTACCAGATGAAATGCAAGGAGATAGATGCGTATAGAGAGGATGCTCGGGGTCCGACAATATTGTATTCGCTAGTTTCTTACATGACATAATATGTCTATCTACAATAGTGTTCACCAGTTGGTTTAACGATATCCCACTTGCCCTACTAACAGCTTTTAGTGCCCTTCTCAGCGAAGCAAAGTCTTTCTTAAGTAGTCCAGGAAAGACTAATGGGGAGCAGTAAAGGAGGATGGGTAGAATACAAGAATTTACAAATTGAGAAAGTAAAGACTGCTTTATACCAGACTGCCTAAATTTCCTAATGTAGAACGTTAAGCGAAACATCTTTCTAGTAACTAGCAAGATGTGGGAAGACCAGGAAAGATCGGTGGAAAAACTCAGCCCAAGGTACTTGACATTAGATGTATTTTCAACCTCTGTGCCGTCAATGAGAGTGGGGCCATGTGAGCTAACTAGTTGCTGTAGGTCACATTTACGTCTGAAAGTGAAATTGACTACCTGACATTTAGACGGATTAAGCTTAAGTCCGTTTGAAGAGGACCACTGACTAATTTCCGACAGAAAGTTATTTAATTTGGAACAATCTGACTGAGAGTTGACAGGCATAGAAATAGAGAGGTCATCGGCATACTTAACAAAAGTGGCTACATCAGAATGAGGCAAGTCAT